TAAATCAAAATAAAGCAACCCTACCGCGCAACCGTTTTCACTGGCTTGTCTCTCACCACTTTTGGCAATTTCTGTAATTTTATTTTATTTTATTTCGTTTTATTTCATTTGATTTGATTTGTTTATTTATGCGTGCTTCCCTCGAAAATTGATGATGATTGAGTGTATAATAAATAAATGAAATTCATAAAAAAAAAAAACGTTGCTTCAGTGCCACTGCACCTCTTTGCTTACTAGACTTGTTTTGGTGGGTTTATTATGCTTTCTTTCTGCTGTCTACCTTTCGCCTAAAAGTGTGCTTCAGTTGTCAAATATTTTGTAGATCAGCAGCGCGTCTGCGTTGTTAACTCTCTTGTTGACCAGTATTGCTTGTGTGATACTTTTTTTGATGCTATTCAACGTGAAGCAGGGATAATAAAGTGAGTGGTATTTTAAATGGGTCAGCGCCTACTGATATGCAAGGATTTTTAGCAACTGCAGTTTTATCTTTGCAATTTTGTTAAAAATCGAAGTTTTACATACAAGAATTGGGGCCTTATCGCTTATAACTAATATTGCCGCGCCTGGCACTGTCCGGTAGGCTGATGGAACTTTAAGGACTGCGGCGCGGTGCCGGTTTCTCTTTTTAAGGACGTCTGCCCAAAGCTCAGCTCCGTATAATGGAATGCTGATTGTCGTCGACATTATGATATTTCTATTTTCTAAGCTGCGGCCTTCTATGTTGGCCATTAGTCGATTCAGTTGTGAGGTGATCTGCTTTGCCTTTCCTATGGTTTGCTGAATTTGTACCCAGAAGGTTAGTCTGTGGTTCAGGCTTACGCTTAGGTAGCATACTGCTTTTTATGTCCCAATAATAACCGTAATCGTTTGCATACTTATTTCGATGGAATATATTGTAATCAGAAATTGTTGTATAGTTTTATAAACATCCTTATTTTTTTGAAAAATATTCAGGGTTCCTTTCAAATTAGACCTTGACCTAAGCTTCGTTTCCCTAATATAATTAATTCCGCTCCCAGTTGACTCCAACTAAAATAAAGGAATAAAACTAAGTCTAAGTTTAAGGCTTTCAATATAGGTAAAGTAGACACCAAATTAATACTATATGATGTCATGATGTTTAGTATTTTCGCAACATTTTCTTAATATAAAGTCTTGCCATCGTCGAAGGAACTTGCCGTATTTTGATTCCAGCAAGTTGCATGAGTCTAAAATGTTCGGTTGTACCCAAAATTAGCTCTTCCTTACTTATTGTAGTACGATTTGTCCTTCACTTCAGAGCACAGTTTCGGCAAACGACTTTCATTCGACAAAAATTGCTTCTCAGAGAGCATTCTTTTGAGGTCTGCGAAACGGAAATATTCACCAAGGGCCAGAGTTGGAGAATACGGTGAAGCAAGCTGTTCATGCTCCTCCCTTAGTAGTCAATATAAATTATTTCATGTGTGTCTCAAAATACAGACACCATAACCTTGCCAGGCGACTGCTGCATTCTTCCACGCTTTGGAGCGAGTTAATCGTGTTCAGTTCAGTTCAATCTCGGATGAATGTCATTTGAAATTTGGAATGAAATGATCATCCATTGCCCCTCAAACTCGGACTTTCTACCCTAGAACATTTTCAAATACTACTTCGAATCATCAAGTCGTTGTTGTTTTTGGTTAAAAGTGAGCTCGCGCGGCTCATATTGTGCACAGAGCTTTCTCATACCCAAATATTTGTGAATGATATGATGTACAAGGTCAGCAGATATTTTTCGAGTCTCAGCCATCTTGATTAACTTCACTTTGCCGTCATCCAAATATATTTTGTGGACGTTTTCAATATTTTCGTCGGTAACAACCTGCTTTGGGAATCTACGGCGTCCACGTCATTTCTCCTAAACTTAGAATACCAAATCATGATAATTGATTTTCCTAGGAAAGTGTTCGTAAACTCGCCATCAAGCCAAGTATTTCACAATAACAAAAGTTGCTTCACTCAAAATGACATACAAGGTGCGTTCCAAAGTAAGCAGGACTTAAAAAAAAAACACAGAAAAAATGGTTTTTTGGCCAAAATCTATTTATTTTACTCAAAATAGTCTTCTCTGCTTCAATACAGCTTTTTACATGGTGCAAAAGCATGTCGAACGAGTGTTTTAGCTCGTTGGCCGGTATGGCCGCCAGTATGCTGGTGCAAGCCTATTGAGCAAATGCATTTTTCTGAAAAGGAAGAAGCCGCATAGATGATATTAAGTGAATACAAATAATCGGTCACAAGATGTACTTCGAATGTTGGATTCTGAGCAATTTTTGATCGTCAGTCAATTTAAGCGGAACAAACCGTGCGCACACGGTTGCAATGGTCTGCCAATCTCTTAGATCTTATTTGGTCTCATTGTTCAGTTGAAGGCGATTGTTTACAACTATCATGAAGAAACCTCATCGCAATTTTAGAAATCTGTTAAGCAACACAAATGAAATATTAAATTATTTTCTGGCACAGTATTCTTTGATTTACTTGACTGTACACTTTTTCTGCTGATAGAGGGTGTGAGATCATTACTAAAGCACAAAACAGTGCTCCAGGGGGTCAAACGTAGAATTCGATTAGTACGAATCTTTTATAACCCAAATTTCAGTTCAGTTCAGTAGTTGTTCTTTTTTGGATTGGTTTTAGCTTAGTTGGTTGCTGGCCGGACATTGTGAGTTGGAGTTCTTTGTGGACTAATGTATGATTCTGTTATCTCCAAAAAAAGTTATCCAACGCAAGAATTTTAGTCTCTTTCATACCTTCAGCCAAAATATCAAACTTCAGTTGTCATAACCTCCCGTTGGTACTTAAGAGCAGAGCGTCCACAGGCTTAAATAACCAGCTCTAAGGCCACATGGAAAAGGTTAGGGATTCCGTTCAAGTGTTTTCAAGGTTCACATTTTTATTACCTTACATAATTTAATGATAACAACCACATTTTAATAAAAATGTTACAAACATGTTTGTAAACGGTCGGTATTTATGCGAGTAACTGTACATTGGCACGCCACCGCAAATATATTTTACGCATACAATATTACAATATTTTGTTGGGGTTGTCATTTTTATCAGCGTTCTGGCAAATAATGACTGTGTCCTTGCTACGATGCTGCCATACCACATAAATTTGCCATTTTGGTTCTTAACACATATCACCGAGACGAAATTTATTGTATGCGATGCACTTAAGAGCAACAAGATAAAAGCGGCAAGCATAGAAAAGGCGCACAAAATTGTGAATACTCTGAGCTTGGCTGTGGCTCTATGACTTAAGCGTGCAAGTAATGCTTTGAATGTGTTTAGTGGCCAGTAATATGGTTGTGGGAGATGTCTCTGTGTGTGTGTGAGTGCGTGTGTTTTATATGCGGCGCATAGAGTTGTTTACTGACAAAGCTGTTACACTGTTACTATCACTTAGTGGAGTAAGTGTATGTGTGTGAGAAGGTGTGGGGGTGTTTGCATGTGTGTGAGTAGTCGTGGTGTGTATGAAGGCCTGTAATTTGTACCACTTTTGTTTACATACTCGCTGACATTCCTGCATATTATAGCTTTAGAGCCGACACACGGCTACACACACAAGGATAGCACACATATACAAATATTTACATACTTGTATATATGCCACATATTCATATCTTTGTATATCCATGTAAAACATCATTATTCCTAATTTTTTTATTTTGAACAAATTTCACTTCACAACATGACTGCTCTTTGCCGTTAGTGGCCATTCTATTTATGTACTGTTTTATATTTTTTTATTGCATGCAACATTTTTTCTCTGCGCTTGCCATGCCTGAATTGCAGTTTTATGTTAATTTTAATACATTTTAGTTATTTATTGAGCGAAGTGTATGTGTGTGAAAAATTGAACACAAAACTGTTGTGCTGGAATTTATTGCAAATGCGTTCCTCTACCCGCAAGCTCACTCTATCTCCTCGCCCCCGCAGCGCTGTCATTTAGGCGTATGTGTTATCCTGTGGGTTCCGCTCTCGGGTATTCTTATTTCCGACAATGGTGATAGTCATTCATTTTGAGTTCATTGTATGCGTAGAAAATATACGCATTTATTAAGCAATATCTGTGAATTCATTGCCTGTACTGTAGAGAACAATAAATTTATTGGATATGCTTGAGCCGCCACTACTTGCATCCCCCCTTACTTAAGAGATTAAATGCATAAATTTCGTAAATTTATGACATAATTTGTTGTGTTAATATTTCTCGGTTATATTTGCATTTTTATAATGAAACAAAATGACTTTGGATTTTTTCTAACTGTGACTAGGAAGTGCATGACAGCACATATATGAAAATACAATAAAAGTGTCTATTAAAAATAACATAATACAATTTTTTTGTGGTATTGTTGAGCCTTTCTGAATTTTTTGAGAATTACTGAAATTTGAAAGAATCTGAAACATGGCAACTCTGCTACAAATTAATTAATTTAATATGCGAGAAAAATTTGCAATATAAGAAAACGAAAAAGAAGAAAAACATAAGAAAAAAAGTTAAGTTCGTTTACACGGAAGCTGTAATACCCTTAACAATTATAAAATTCCATATAAGATTTTCGTTTGGATCGGACAGTTTGTGTGACACCCATATAGTGGTCCTATCTGCACAATTGGTATTTGTAGTGGAATTGATAATGGTATTGATAATGATATTGGTATTAGTATTGGTATTGGTATTGGTATTGTTATTGGTATTGGTATTGGAATTGCTATTGGTATTGGTATTGGTATTGGAATTGGTATTGGTATTGGTATTGATAATGGTTTTGGTACTGGTATAAGTACTCGTATTGGTATTGGTATTGATAATGGTACTGGTACTGGTATTAGTACTCGTGTTGGTACTGGTATTGGCATTGAAATTGGAATTGGTGCTCACACTGGTATTGGTGTTGGCTTTGAAATTGGTGTTGGTGCTCGTACTGGTGCTGGTACTGTTGTTGGTTTTCGTATTGGTATTGGTATTAATGTTGGTATTGGCATTGGTATTGATATTGGTAGTGGTATTGGTACTCGTACTGGTACTTCTACTGGTATTGGCATTGGTATTGGCACTGGTATTTGTATTGGTATTGACATTGGTATTGGTACTTGTATTGATATTGGTACTGGTGTTGGTATTGATATAGGTACTGGTATTAGTATTCGTACTGGTACTGATATTGGTATTGGTACTCGTACTGGTATTGGTGTTGGTATTATTACTGATATTGATACTGGTATTGGTATTGGTATTGGTATTGATATTGGTACTGATATTGGTAGTGGTATTGGTGTTGGTATTAGTATTGGTATAGGTATTGGTATTATATTATTTTATATTATATAAGCATTCTCAAAGATGCTTGGATTAACTCTTGTTATTACATTTGGTTTGCCCTGGTATTGTATTAATATTTGAATTGATTTTGTTATCGATATTGATTGTGTTGTTTACTAATATGACAATTTGTTATTTTATATTAGATTAAATAGTGACTATGGCATACTAATGATTCAAATTTAGCACAAACATTTTTTATTTAACTAACTTCTATATAATACTAACTACTAACTACTAACTAACTTTAAAATCCTTTAAAAGCTTCACATGCGTGTCCAGCATTTCCACATCAGAATTTACGTAATTTTCCCCATAAAAAACTCAGAATCTTCAGCTTATTTGCGACTTTATATATTATCATATTTGCTTGTGTACAAAACTACTGACATTGAGCCATTTGTAGCGAAATCTTCAATCACATTTAAGCCAGTTAAGCACTTCTGCTTCTTCGTCTTCTTACCCAACAAACGTTTCGCAGAAATGGCAAAACTACCGAAATTGTCTTAGATAAATACTATTAGGTTTTTTCCACTTATACACACACACATATACATTCATATATCAAGAAAGAATGAGAATAAAAAGGCGAATTGTAATATAATTTTGTGGCTATTTTCGCTCGGAGCATTACATAGAAGTGGGTCAGCAGTGAATGTGTGACAAGTGAGCTAGGAATGAAAAAAATCGCAGAGCTTGCAATGAATGTAGCTAATGCAAAATGCACACACTCACATACAAATGATTGTACTTATATAAAAAATGAGCATAGTTTATTCTAACTTATTTAAAAAGTGTACGAACTGCACACATTTAGTATTCTTCCGAAGTTAGCACATTACAGGGATATTTGTTGTTTGGGCAATAGTAAAATGTGGCATAAAAACAAAAGAAATTTTCGACAGAAAATCCAACCAATTTGTTCGACAGACTAGTGTTCTTTCAGGCTTTACTAAAGATTGTATGCGTTCTTCCGCTATGTGAATATAAATGGGAGTGTGTATGTATTTTTATTGTAAGGGATTTTTGTTTGCTTTCGGGAATGACCTCGTGTGCGATATGATCGCCATTAAAAATAAATTACTTCAGTTATCTAAATACAATTTAACGTTATGTACATTTATTTTCTTTCACTAGTTAAAAGACAGCTTTAAATACATACATGAAAGCACATATGTATATACGTATATGTAAATTTGGGAAACTATTGATAATTACGTTGGGCCAGTATGACGTTATATTAGTTAGTGTTGCTGTTGATCATGTGTTTAGTTAAAATTCTAGTCTTGCTTTTCACTTTGATCGTCTTCTTTACCAAGAACTAGTTTTCTACTCTGACAACATGTAGCTCCACAGACTAATGGAGATAGATATAGAGTTATGTATGTTCACAGTACATATATGTAAGTGATCAGTATAACGAGACTAGTTAAAATCCGAGTGAATGTCTGCTCATCAATCAGTTCGCCTGCGCAAGCGATAACTTATAACCCACGGTTGGTTGGTACTGCATATAGGCGGGATCGAACCATTGGCACGGCAAAAAATCCTGTTAAGGGAAGACCATTAAAGTGTTATATTTTACGTTAAAATTAAGACAAAAAACGATGTTTGCTGGAAGAAATTGCGAAGAAAAGTGTATGTGCGGGCTGAAATTATTTAAAAAGGGCGTGGTTCTGACCATCTCAGAAAACGCCAAGGCGTCTTCAACGAAGCTTCCTAAAAGAGATAGCATCCCATCAAGTACCGTGAAAAAAGGTTAAGTCAAAACCACGCCCATTCCAAATGTAACGATTATGTTGAAACCACTAAAAGAGTGATAACTCAATACTCAAACGCGTCAGAGATATTATGAGAATAAGTCCTTGAACAAATGGAGCCTCTATGATATATATATTTTCGAGTACTCAGATACTGAACATGTAGAGCTCAGTGATAACGGCATATTTTTTATTTCAAATATCGCTAAAAATGTAGATATGTTTTGGAATTCAGAGATAATTTTTTTCTGATAATAGTGTGCCATTGGGTCATTTACCCAATATAAAGATTGTTAAACCACCCTATGACTTTATACTCTACCTACTGTTTAACATGTGAGTTATCATAATGAAATTCAAAGAGTATATCTCAAATAACATTGTGTCCTTGTTTCTAAAATACCTAATATACGAATTTTAAATTTCCGCTTGGCTTTTTTCGGTCAATTTGTAAAACGTTTTAGCAAAATTAAGTGAGCGCTTAGTGTTGCTAGAGGCACTGCATTATTCTGAAAATATAATTAAGATAGTCTCCGAACTGTTCCAAATTCCGTATACAATATAACAGGTCAAATGAAAAGTCCCCGGCCTACTTTAGTACATTTTTGGCCGTTCCCACGTCAGTCGGGTCTATGTAACAGAAACGGATCCGGATTTTTTATTTGGTTAAGGACTGTCAACTAGGCAGAAATCTGCCGCCAAAAACATTTTGTTTGCAAAATTCATTTTTGTTTTTAATCCACATTGTGCGCTTCAAGGGTGATCTACTGGATTCTTCAATATTTCGAAATCATTATTGTAGTTCGATTAGGTCTTTGCTTCATAACAGGCTTTAGTTTCGGCGATCACTTCTTCATTTAATGCAAATTTTCTCGGACAACTATCGATTGGACTTAGGAGAGAAATGATGGAGCCATGTTTCATCTATTGTTACATATGGACGCAAACACTTTGGTACTGACCTTGTAATGATTTTAAGTTGCTCTATATATATAAGTTTTGCCTTTGATTTTGAGATATCTTAACCTTAGTCTTGTCTTGTTAGTACTATAGCTATTTTATTAAAGACTCGAAACTTTTTCTGCATTTGGCTTGGGTTAAAATAATATTTTCTTATTCCTTATTACGAGTTCTAACGAGGGTTTTGATATTGACTACGGTTTATGTCTCGGGTGATATTACCGACAATTTCTCGTTAATTCTCAACAAGCTTAATAAGCTTAAAGAGCAAAATATACTTACCCAAGAACGTCTTACTCAACAAAAGCGACAGCAAAACGATAATATAGCACCAAAATTAAACCCATACAAATTATGACATGGAATTCAAATGGCTTGCACAAACATACAAAAGAATTAGGGACGCCATCTTGAAAAAATTAATACTACAAGACGTTTTGCCCGAACCACCGAAATAACAATGCAGGAGAGGGGAGTGCAAAAATAGTCAGAGGTAATACTCTCCATTAGATCTCAACATTCCATAATCGAGTTCAACGAATAAAAAGCATAATTGAAGTATCTCCATGGCCTACTTCATAAATTAAGTCTTCTCTCTCCACAGTATATAACTGACTTAGTTGCCACTAACCTGAGCAACCGACACTTCAGTATCAGGAAGGGACAATAATATACTACGTCACAACCAATACAAACAGGTTAAGCCTAAAGTATAACTACCCATGTCAGTCGGGTCTACGTAACCGGAACAGACCCGCTACAACAATAATAAAAACGGCAATGGACACAAAGTTATTTTAAAAGAGTTGAAATCTATTCATATTAACTACACTAACAAAAGTGCTGCAGGTATCCCCTTTCATATTGGGAATGAAGTAATCCCGTACTCCACCTGTGCGAAATATCTTGGTATGAGGTTGGACGCAAGGTCGTTTTCACTTTCGCTTTCCTCGACACTATCTAAAGAAATATATATTCAATATTCTCCGAAACTCAAAGGATATCGACCGTTATCAGTGCAACTTCTTAATCATTAATGGAGGTTTCATCTCTGACAACGGATACTGTAAAGGTTACCATCGCAATGTAAATTGTAATGAAATGAAAGACAGGGAAGCAATGTGGGTTATTCAAAAATAACTATCAATATAAAAAATTAATTTTGAGAAATTTTCACTAACAGTCTCTGTCTGAGCTGAAATCAGTAAGTAAGCAGCTCAAATGGGATGTTTGTTCCTAACTACAGACAACTGTACAAGAAATTTGGTAGATGAGACTCAACTCAACTGAACGCAGCTGAAATGAAGCGTACTGAAGCATGCTTTATGTATGTCATGTGACGTGAAAGGAAGGCCTAAGCTGAATGAATTTTACTGACTGTACTGGGTAGTGGAGTTTAAAGGCCATGCAAGGTTGATTGACGATAGTATAAACGAAATGTAAAAAAGAAAAAGTGTGGCAATGGATGGCATGGCGAGAGGTTTTAATATTTGTGTGAAGAAAATAAATAAGTTTTCTTTGGAGTATAAATACATAATGCACTATTTTCGTCTAAGAATTCAGCTAGAGTCAAGAAAACAATATATCGTCACCTAAAATGCAAAATAATGTATCATCACTTTTCGTAAGTTGACAGGTGAAGAAAACGATATAATTGAAACCAATTACATTGAAATAAAAATTTGAATTTTGGTTATACGAGTATAATGGTTATATATTAGTTGTAAAATGGTTATATATTGGTTATATCTGACAGCAAATGCAGGAAATTTTATGCTAAATATATGTAATATGATATGCTGAATCGAAAGCAATAAAAACTCTATTTCGATTTGTTTGATGATATGTGGTTTTCCATTTCAGGTCATGATATCTTATTACATATAYAGATAATAAGGTCATCTTAGCAGCGAGACTTTTGTAAATGATCGTAAATATAGGCAATACCACAGTAGTTTTTTAACGAAGTTGAAACCCAAAATCAGAATGTAATAAATATCAGAATTTCTATGTGCTCACTTTCATTAGACGGCCTTCGGGAATTTATAATGCTTTAAAGAAAAAGTTAGTCCACTGATATGTTTCCTAGTATTTTTTTAAGTAGCAGCTCTCTTTAAAAGTACATAAAAATAATTTAATTTTTGGTATTGCTATTAACTTAAAATTATTTTTTTCCTAATAATTGGTTCAGCAATTATTTAAAGTAGTACCAAAAATTGTTCCATACAAATTAAATACACTATTCATTGACTCGGGATCCCGAAGAG